TGCAAGCCCGGGCTGGGATCCCTCGGCTTTGGCTCGATCATCGCTCACAGGGGACGCGGGCTTTCAACTTGTCTTATGTGGCACTTAGAAACCAAACTCAGCTTGGGGGTTGATGGCTTTTTCTGGTGCTCCTTCGGGTATGGGTTTGCTATTTGAAAAAAAAAAATTATGCAACCAGTGGTAAGAGCTTAATTAGTTCATGTTTTTAAGATTGACTGGGAAGGCAGAGGGAAATGCGAAAACAGTGATAATCAGCAAGAAGCTTTTCTCTTTTATCTGCGATTGGAAGGGATCTGTACTTGATGCTCTGATGAGGTGCTTGTATTTCTGATCAGCATCCCCCACGCAGGTTTCTGGTGGAGACTTTTTCTCTCTCAAGTCTCCAGGTGAGGCAGGAGCGGAGGAGAAAGGAGACGCAAGCCTGCTGCTTTATCAGCACGTGTTTTCTCTCTTCCTCCCATCTGGTTTCTGGATCCTCCCGGGGAGGAAGATGAGAGCCATCCTCCCCCGGGTTCGTCATGGCAACCGGCGAAGGCAGGACCTGCTTGGTGGGATGCACCGCTGGGGCTTGAAAGGTGTTTGAGTTTTCTCCTGCTCCTGCATCTGCCTCACGCTGTTCCTCTGGAGTGGGATGGGGGAGCAGTGTGGAGAAACTCACTTTTTTTTGTGCTTTTTCTCTTCCACCCCCCAGTTACATCTCCATGGCAGAGATGGACTTTAGTTGCTTGAATTTTTCATACAAGCTGTTGAAGTTGGTTTGTTTGTTTTTCTCTGGGGGACGGGGTTTGAGATGTGGGCTGGGTTATTTCTTCCAATCCAGTCACGCCTTTCCGTCATTTTTTGGAGCGGTGCGAATGCGATGGAGTCCTGGAGGAAGCTCTGTTTCAGGTGCTGACTTTCTGCTGGGGTGTTTCTTCTAGATAAGTCGGTGGAGGTGTTTGGTCTGGTGGCAGGCGGAGGCAGATCAGTCAGGGCTGTGGAGTGCTGGGCTCTGCACGTCGGAGGTGGCTGCTGCCTCCTGCAGCCCTGGCGCCCTGCTGAGGTGGTATTGCTGGCTTTTCTCCGAATGCATCTGGAGAAGTGCAAGAACCAAGCAGCAAACTGAAGAACAACAACCAGGTTACAATTCTTCCATTTTTCTCGTGTCAATCTGCCACTTCTCTAATATTCACCTGCGGGCAAATGCGTTAGCTCTGAGTTTGCCTTTTCGAGTCCTTTTGCGTTGCCCACCACCTTTCCCTCCCAGGAGTCTGGGCTGTTGGTCGCTGCGAGCTGCAGAGGCAGCGTGACATCCTGCGGTGCCTTTCTTCCACGACTGGGGCTGCCTTCGGCTCTCGCTTCTCTGAAGCAGCATCTCCCGAGCTACTCACCCGGCGAGGCTGAGCTGCCGCCCACGCCGGCTCCCTTATCTCGGTGCTGCTCCCCATCAGGTACCTGCCCTGCAGCTGGCGAGGGGAGGGATGCTTTGAAGCTGCAGTGCCACCCCGGAGCTGTGTCTTGGGAGGCCAGGATGGAAGAACCAGTTGCTCTTGAATTTGCTTGTCCCCGTGGTACTGCGGGTGGGAAACGTGGTTGCCAGTGAGTCACTACGACCATTCTTTTAATTCACCCGTGGTGCCAAACCGGGGTAGATTTCGGGTTTATTTTCTCCTTACAGTCTTCCTTAGGAAGTTTATATGCTGAAGTATGTGAAAATTTCCCCGCCCCCCCCCGCCCTCTCTTGCACCA